CATTACAGTGCTATGTGTTCCTACCATATCAGGCATGCAGTTGATTACAGAATATTTCCACTGTGTAACTCGTTCCCAACCAGAGTATTACCATCCTAAACTAAAATCTGCAATAATCAGCAAGCATTAAATTATCAAGTAAATATATTGTGTATCATATGAAATCTACTGTCTTCTTTCTTCGCCAAAACTTTATATTACCATGACATATTTTTCATCTATAAGAAATAAATAAAAAAAAAAACTTTTATGAGAAATAATAAAATCAATAAGCATAAATTTTTTTTCTTATTTGAAAAAAAAAAGAGGCACGACATCTATGGAGTGGTAGTAATAACTTAGCTATTATTTTTCATTATTATTAAAAAAAACTTTGGAAAGTTTCTATATATTCCTCAGCCTTAAAAAAGGTAATGTCAATATGTCCCATTTAAAATTTCCTAAATAACAATTTGGAAGACCAAAAAAGAATTGATGCTTTTAAATTGTAGTGTTGGTGAAGAATACTGAGAGTACCATGGACTGCTAAAAGAACTAACAAATCTGTTCTGGAAGAAGTGCAGCTGGAATGCTCTTGGAAGCTAGAATGGCCAGACTTCATCTCACCTACTTTGGTCATGTTGTCAGAAGGAAACACTCCCTGGAGAAGGGTATCATGTTTGGTAAAGTGGAGGGTCAGCAAAAAAGGGGAAGGCCCTCAACAAGATGAATTGACACAGTGGCTGCAATGATGGGTTCAAATGTAGTAAGGATCGTCAGTCTGGCACGGGACGGGGCAATGTTCCGTTCTGCTGTACGTAGTGTCGCTATGAGTTGGAGATGACTCAATGGCACCTAACAACAACAAAAACAAAAAACAATTCTGATCTAGTGCAGGAAATTAGAAAAAGTGTGAAAACGTAAAAAACAAAGCAAAACAAGTATTTTATAATGTTCCCTCTCTTTTCTGTATCCGTTTCTTATTGTTCATTAGTTTGAACTTTTGCTTTACTCAGTACCCATTGTGATTTTTTTTTTCCTTTCTCCTTTCAAAATAATTTTATTAAAAAAATGTATAAGGTCTATATGAATGATTATGCTTCCTCTATTATGCCAGACTTAAGAAAAATAAATGTGTTCCAAGTATGAGATCACTGATATCAGCAAACCAGTGGAGAAGGCACTAACTTGTGCATAAAGAGAGGGAAAGGGGAGTTGTAGCATTCCTTATATTGGAATGGTAGTCCTTGAGGTGGTCCTTGATTCTGCCAATTCATGAGATCTTTACCATATATTTCCTGATGGAAAACGACACAGAAGGAGAAAAAGGTATTGAATTGGAAACAACAAAGGGACAATCACAATACTAACGATGTTTTCTCTTTTCATCCCTATAAGAACACACTGATGAAAGTATGATTATTCTCATTTTATAGATATATTAGGGAGTTAAACTGAACCAAGTCAATAAAATTAATATACAGCACAAATAGAATTACTATCTTGGCTATACCAAACTTGTGTATGTCACACCAAACTTGTGATCTTAATCATAATATCAAAATGTTTTTAAGTTAAAGACAGGGCTTGGAACCAGCATAGGAATTTTCTTTTATTTATCAAGAAAATACTTTGAAAGCAAACAAACAAACAACAAAGCACCAAATTGTTCCTGGGGACTTTATTTTCTACAAAGAAAATTAATAAGGTGTGTTTTTCCTCCTTTTGTCATACATATGTGAGAAGGTGTCCTGAGGGTTTTGGAAATCCTTTCACAAAGAAAAGGCCATTTATTCTGAACTTGCTAGTCAGAAGGCTGGGGGTAGGTCCAGGTGACTGTAATGAGTGCCTTGTCTCAGACTTCCTGTGTGACTTCATCTGAGAACACAAGAGGTCGCTAGCATTCTAGCTTTATGATTTTCAATTCTGCAAATGTGTGGAGTGTCTCTGTCTATATTTTCTCTAAGGCTAAATGTCAGGGTCCTTTATTGTATGTATATTATAAAAACCTTGTAAGAGTATACCTTTTAAATTTGTGGTGTGAACTTAATAATTTATAGTATGAATTCTATCACTTATAATGCTATTACTATGCCATTTACCAAGTAGTACGGAAGTATTTCACTATGTTAAAAAAGCCAGCAAGTCTTTACCAGTGTGAACAAGCTGAACATAAGCCCTGAAGTCCAAGGTTCCAAGAATATACGATTATTTCTCCTGTATATTTTGTGGGTTGAATAATAACATCTTGTTGTTGTTGTTACTGGAAAATATTGGCTACAAGTAGAATAATAAATATCGATTTATTATCCATCTCCCCTCCCAAGCATTTTATTATGGCTATTAAACATTTTACTTTAACATATATTATAAAAACTCACATTGCATTGTTAACACTGTTTAAACAGTCAATTCTTTTAAAATATATTTAAATAATAAAATTTTTGTAGCCATGTACTTAAAATGTCTGATGCTCTTCATTTGTTGGGTAGAACCATATTTCCATCTAGTGTATTTTTTTCCCCAAAGCATTTCAAAGAAAAATTTCAACAGAATCAAATATTACCAAGAGTTAGAAGGACCATAAAATGTATTGTCCAACCCAGACACTTTTAAGGATGAAAGAGAGTATTGTAACTACACTGAGGAAACAGATATAAATCTAGGCTTCTTGAGAAACCGGAGACCATATTGGGCCACTGTGTATACAGTTCACCCTATAGAAATTTTTCAGAGTTGTCACTAAATCTAGCAATATATAAGCCATGAGTTGCCTTAACTAAAGTTATTTCAGTTGATTTTGAGGACAGAAGCCATTTTGGTGAAGATTGAAGCCTAATTGGGAGGTGAAAAACAAAAAAATACATGTAGAAGGATGACACTGCGTAGGGAATATGTGGTTGTGAAACAAAGACAAAAAGGAGACAAAGGGATAAGCCATTCATTTCTCCTTCCTTCCACAGCAAATATCTAATTAAATCATGACTGTAGCTTTACAACTAGTCTCCATACTCTTGCCCCCTCTAATACACTCTCTACAATGTCAGAATATATTTTAGAAATGCAAATATGATAATGTCACTCACCTATTAAAAATAACTTTCCATTCATTTTTGATAAAGGCCAAAATATTTACTATAATTTTACATAATCTGTCTTCTCTCTGTTGCTCTTGATTTGTTTGTACCACCCTTCCTCTAGAGTTCCTTCAGGTAAACACTACTTTCCAAGCCTAGATCATAACCTTTCCTTAACTAGTTAATTCCCAGAATTCTTAGTAAATCAGTTCTTTCTATTAACTATTTTCATAGCAGCCCATGTTTTTCTATCCATTAACATATACCATTAGTAAATATATATTTGTGCACTTGTTTTATGCTTTTGATGAATTAACAAATATTTACTCAACACATACTGTACTAGCCAAGTATTCTCTTAATAATTTTTTAAAAATGAAAAAAGTAATAAAATCAATCCAAAGTACAGTCCCAAGAGAACGTCAATAAACAAGGTCAGTGTGATTTCCCTGTCACCACATATAAAATGTAAATACATACATGAGCATTTTTCTTGCCATTATAACATACAGCAATTTAATTCATGGCTCCACAGAGGTATATACAGTAAAGCTTTAGTGTAAATATACTTATGGAAAGGAAAGTTTTATCTCAGACATGCTTTCCTTTTGATTCACAAATGATTAAAATGAAATGCATGTAATATTTTTCCTAGATGACCTGAGGTATAAGCAATGAGATGCCCTCACCTATCTTGTGGGTGCTAAGCTCAGGCAAACACAGAAAAAAAGAGTGAAAATTGCTGTCAGTTAATTATGAAACATTAAAGAGCAAGTACTTTTAACGCTGATCTACAAGTTTCCAACTCTGCTCCAAGTGACCAGATCCTGCCTCTGACTCACTTATATTGAATTCTTAACAAAGGTCTCTGAAATTTCCTTCTCTTTCAGGTACGTTTAACCCTTTGTGGTTCCCTTTTAACTCTTCACTCCTCAACTTTTAGAAAATGTATCCAGTTGACAATTCATTGAACTATCTCTGAACATTTTTTGTAAAAAAATTAAACATTATATACAGTATTTTTTTCTGATGCCAAGATAGCAAAGTTTTGCTTTATTTAAGCCATTTCTTTCCAAGTTTTTGACAAAAATCTAGTGTTCTTTCTTAACTTGCTTGGAAAACTTTTAATAGCAGATATTTTGAACTCTGATAAATAGTTTTGTCCTGATAAGTGTTTTGCCAGCTCTAAAGCTGATAGCCAATATTAAAAAAAGATTTACAACAATAAAATTCTTCAAGCTTCTGAATGTTAACTATGTTGGTATTGAATCAATTTTTGTTTATTTACTTTTTAGTAATATTGTTTATATGAAACATAAAACAAGCCAATAAGTCAATAGACTGTACATAGATGAGAGTATAAATTTATTTAAATCTTAAAATAGTACAAAAGATATTGGTCCATTAGTCACTTATGTAAGTCAGTTGGGAAAGTGTAAAATGCCAACAGCTATTCAGTGTTTTAATCAGAAATTGTGAATATTACCTTAGAAGAACATTAATAAGTCTAATATTTTTAATGCTAGAGAAAAATCAATTTCATGATTAATCATTGAATTTCAAGAAACAAACTACAGTGATATTAGAGAGGATTGGCTTAGAATTTTTGAAGAAGTTGTATTGCAGATGTAGAATTGATGCTACAATTCTGTAGTAAAGGGCATAATGACTGGCTGCAAAATAATTGGTTACATATCTATCTTATTCCCTTCGATTCTAAGTTCTTGGTGGTATGTTTTCTGATACCACCGTATTTGGGGCTCCAAAGTTGAGAACATACCATCAGGAACGGTAATAGGCATAGCGATTTATTAACCCCAATTTTTCACTATTGCTTCATTCCTCTTTATTACAGTATACCACTTCCTCTTACTGCTTCCTAAATGACAGAAACATTAACTGACATTTTGGTTCTTTATCCCACACAGTTTTTCTTAAATAGAGATGAAAGAGGAGCCTATAATTCATGCTGCACTAAGCCTGGACTCACTGCCGAAGTACATGCAAAATAATAACATTAAGCAAAAATCTAGTTCAAATGAATTGCCATTAGCCAAGAAAGAGCTGAAACATCACCGATATTATAAAAAGCAACACAGAAATACAGCAGAAGATAGCAATGGCAAAGGTAACATATACAAGAATATTGTATTCAGGTAGAGAGTGCTTAAAATTATGTAGTAAATTGGATCATGTATTAGGAAGATAAAAAAATATATAACATGAAATTTCTTTCTAAGTGTAATTGCTCAAGCCTACTGCCACTGAGTGGATTCTGACTCATAGCAACCCCCAATGGGTTTCCAAGGCTGTAAATCTTTACTGAAGTAGATTGCCTCATCTTCCTCCCAAGGCGAAGCTGGTGGGTTTGAACCTACAACCTTCTGGTTAGCAGCAAAATGCCTTACACACTGTACCACCAGAGCTCCTTAAGTCTACTTAGAAAGAGAAACTATACAAGCAAAATTTAAAAATCCGTTTAATGAAGGTTATGGTAAAGGCCAAATATTAAATATTAGAAACAATTCAGGTGGAAACTTAGAAACTTCATTGCTCATATGAGAATTGGTTTAGAATATAAAGGGGGAGTAAGATTTTAATGGAGAAAAGGTTTGGGAAGATATTCCCTTGAAATAAGAGTGATAGGGGTCACAGTGTGAAAAACATTTTTGGACTTGGCTGTTTGGGAAGACTGGGCTTAGATACATTGTTTTGAAGCCAAAAGAATTGTATTGTGTGAGAAGTGAACATGATGTTGGACTGAATTAGAGTGTGACATGCAGCTGACACTGTAGACTTGATATCATTATTTTCTGAAACAAGCAAAATATGAATATTTTTCTTCTAAATTAGGAGCATGAAATAAATCAGGATAATAGCCAAGATAAATAAACAGAAGGTTTAGTAATATTTAACAATCAATGTGATTACAATTTCAAGATATGTTCGTTTCTGTACTCTTGAGTCCAAATGCTGCAAGCTTGTCTTTTCCAAATTAAATAATCTTGTGAGATGAAGAAGGAGCTCTGGTGGCACAGTGCTTAAAGCATTCAACTGCTAACCGAAAGACTGACTGTTCAAACCCACCAGCTACTCCACAAGAGAAAGATGAGGCAATCTGCTTCTGTAAAGATTTACAACTTTGGAAATCCTATGGGGCAGTTCTAAACTGAATGGGTCCATGTGAATACTATGAGTTGGAAACCACTCCATGTAGTGTGTTTAGTTTTTAATTTAGTGGGAAAATAGATGAAGGCTTAACTAGGCTAGTGAGCTTACTGAAATGGCAGAGGCCACTCCTAGATATTCCTGCCAAGTCCACTTAGAGACTTCCCACTAGGTTAATCCTTGCATAGCATTGTAAGCACTAACACGGTTGGCCCTCCATATCTGCTGGTTCTGCAGCCAAATTCCTGTATTCTCGGATTCAACCGTTTATTTAACAACTGTGGATCCAAAATTATTCGGTGGTGGTGGGGGGAAGCAATTAGTAGTCACAGCAATCCCTCCAAGGGTAAGAGAAAGTAAAAAGTGCTATCTACATAGCATTTACATTGTATTAGGTATTTAAAGTAATCTAGAGATGATTTAAAGTAGACCAGAGGATTGTGTGAATTGGGACTTGAGTTCTGAGGATTTGGTGACCTCGGGGTCTGGATCCAATTCCTTGCAGATACTGAGGGATAACTATATGTTAGTTTAGTTAAGGAAAAAGGGGGAAGGAAGAATAATAAATAATACTTGGTGGCTATCTAATTTAGAATGTAGTCACTTTTCTGTTGGAGAAAAGCTTAGTGCCTAAATGAATCAATTACCATTTTGATTTTGGATTATTTTCTTGGTTACTTTATATCTTTTTCCTCGGAAGGAAGGTTGGGCAATCTACTTCCGAAGTGATACCACCTCGGAAACCCAAGGAGGGGGTCTCTATGAGTCGGGTCCGACTCGACCGCACACAACAACAACAACAACATGGTGGAGAAGGATGAAAGCAAGCAGAACTTGGAAGGAGAATTTGTAACTTAGGGCTCATTTCTGTCACTACTTGATTATGTCATCTTAGGTAAACAGCCTACTTTTAAAATTAGGGTTTTACTTCAATTATTACATTATTGCCTAAAAATTGTTGCTGTTGTTGTTATGTGCCGTCGAGTCAAACCCGACTCATAGCGACCCCTCCTTGGGCTTCCGAGGCAGTATCACTACGGAAGTTTATTTATAAAAATAGGTAAATTTATTTAATAGGATTGTTGTGAGAATCAAGAATAAAACTGTAGTTGGATGCATTCTTAACTGTAAAATGCTGTATATATAATTTTTATTTTTGTCCTATGATCTTGTTTCAAATACTATTGCTTTTGATTCTAGATTTTTTACTTCTTCCATGGAAGGTCGTTTGTGGGATGCTGGGGGTCACGTGCCTTCTTCTGTTGGGCACAGCCATTGTAATATCTCTTCTCACAGAAAACTGTAAGTAACTATAAAGTTTTCCACACTGTTTTCCCTTTGAGAGCATTACTGATTTCATAGAATATGAAAAGCAGCTTTTATGCTCAGAACGGGAGCTCTGGTAGCATAGTGGCTAAGACACTTGCCTGCTAACCAGAGGGCTGGTGGTTCAAACCCACCAGCCACTCCTCGGAAG